AGAACAACAAAGATGGCGAGCACCGAGCAGAGCAATGACAGGTTGTGAATGGTGAGGGGAAAGGGATGATGGGCAAGTGCTCGCGGATGATGGGGGAGGTACACCCGAGTAAGAGGGGCGCTGCTGCCGCTGGCTCTTCAGCTTGTCGCACTTCGGGCTCACAGACGGTGGGAGGCGATCGACGGAATGGGTTCTTCGAGGTCGCAGAGATGTCCATTGACAGAATGAAGACAGGTACCAAAGCCGCTGCATGACGACAAATGCCACGTCCTCTTTCCACCAGCCACCACACTCACACACACACAGGAAAAAATATGGCGGTTCGTGGTGTATGTTTCCCTGTTCTCGGGGAAGACTGAGTCTCATTCTCATTTGTGGCGCCCTGCCCCCACAAAACGGCAACGACAACCCCCATACACTCTTTCAGGGCCTTTCCTGCAACCCTTAACATTCCCTCGTTTTCCCAAATGGGAAAGGCCAGACGCCGACCTCCACACTCCAAGCTGCTTCAACTACCGGTCTTAGGGACGACAGTGACCCGCACCCTGTTTTCTTTCCAAAACCCCAAAGGAACCCCGTCCTAGCCTCATTGTACTGCACAACCTTACCGGAAATAGAAAGCATGCCAATCGACGAAATGCAACCCACACAAGCACAGCCTCCTGGCTGCGAATTCACAAAATGTGTGACGCATGTCCAGTCGCACAGTGCCCCCTCAACCAACAAAACCGTATCTGGTGTTGGCAATTGTCAGTGGCCTATTCAGCTGCAGAGGTTCTGAATTTGCCGTCACTTCTGGAGGTGACCGCAAATGCCTTCTTTTTCCCAATTTTCCGAAGGGAAAAGAAGAGAAACTGTGTCCTTAGGGACATCCGTTAAAATTGGAACGATACAGATAAAGAAGATTAGCATGGCCCCTGTGCAAGGATGACACACACAAATCAAGAAATGCTCCAAATAAAATTAAAAAAAAATAAAAAAAAGGAAAAAAAAGAAAAAGAAAAAAAAGGAGAGAAACTGTTACATGAAAACAGCACAGCGGTAACACATTGTGTTTGGACAGAAAAAAAGGAGGAGGGTACACAGAGGCCAGAGAATCACAAAGAAAACAAAAAAAGCACAAAAACTGAATTCCCTACGGAGGCTGGATTAAAATATTGTCGTTTGACTACACTACCACCAAAATGCGCAATTGGCAGAACATGGCCCCGTCTCTCGTTCAAAATGCAATGCCAGTGTGAACCGGTCGAGGAGAAAAGTCGATATTTAGAGATTGGATAGGGCCTGGCCATAAATTTTGCAGGAAAAAAGGTGTTCTAGTGTGAGTATGCACTAGTGAGGTGTGAGTCTACATTGTCATGATCACTTCTGATGAAAGTCTCTTCCCTTTTGACCCCTTGTTGAGGCCCATTGATACCTGCCCTTCCCCCAACCCCCACCCCCAAAAAGCCAGACAAGACTGTGTTTCTGCATGCCCAGGGTACCTTGAGTAGCCTGGACGGCCATGCACCCCTGGTAACCCAGTAAACATATAGATAGATAAGGAAATGAATAGAAATAAGCAAATAGATAAACGAATAAATAAACAAATAGATAAATACTATTTGTGCGTAGTCATTTTTTGAAACAAAGTTCTGCACACAGCCACTTTTGCAAGGGAAACAAACAAACAAACAAACAAATATAGACAAGGTTTTTAAACAAATGAAAATAAAATAAAAAATTATAGAAAGAAAGAAATAAATAAAATTAAATATTCAATAGATAATAAATACCTCAGCTGCAATATCCAAATCGCCATCTTTCTCCGCTTGCAAACAGCTGCAGAAGCCACCCATACCTTTCCTCTTCCGCCATATCCATTTCCCCATCCTCCCTCCAACTCCACTACTCTGTTGCGCTTCTAGAGCTCCGATCTTCTGCCAGCTGTCAATGTAGCACCCAGCCACGCTTGTGCTCGAATCTTCTCCGGGAAGTATCCGCCGGTGGCCATCAAGGCCATTACCACCCCCACCGCCACCAACTCCTCCTCCGCCTGCTCCTCCTACTCCTCGTCCTAATCCTTTTTCATGAAGTCCGTGTCGTTTCGTTACTGAAAGTCCACAAGGGTTGAATGTGAGAACATCCTCTTGCCGTATGATTTCCGTTCCCAGCATTTTTTTTACTCGGAATTCGACGTTCACAACAGTGCCCCAAAAATATACCCCTGCCGCAGATATTAAACTTGTGAAGCCTCTCTGTGGCTCGAGTAGATGATGGCTCGCTTTGACTTTACGTCTGTGCGGGATTTGGGAGATACATGGACGAACTCTCTTTGAGACTGCATTATCGACAAACAATGATAAGAGTTGTTTATTGTTCAATGACTAGATTGATAAGAAACTCCAATCACATCATCCAAATTGCTGCTTTTCTTTTTTACAGGTTTCCAAAAAAAGAAAAAAAAAAAGAGAAAAAGGACTGAAGTCACTGAACAACATTTTAGTCCTTCAGGACATCCGTTAACATGGGAACGATACAGAGAAAGAAGATTAGCATGGCCCCCGCGCAAGGATGACAAAGATCGAGAACAACATTTTATTCCACCTGCCTTTTGAGAATTGCGTTCTAATTAATTTTGCATTGTCAGGGACTGTTCCATGACAGCCGTGCCCTGTCAAAAGGTGGAGTCCATTTGACCATGACCAAAAACCTCGCCCCTCGACAGCCTGTGTGGTGAAGAGGGGGGGGGAACTGTTGACCGCCCGACTTTTGAAAATTTTTTGAAAGCTGTCGAATATTTTCCACAGCCTGTGTGACGAGCCTGTAAGAAGCTCGCCACACAGGCTGCTGAATGTCGAATATTTTCCACAGCTGTCAGAAACATTTTGGAAATCGGGCGGTAGACAGTTCCCCCCCTCTTCGCCACACAGGCTACCGAGGGGCGAGGTTGTTGGTCATGGCCAAATCAACTCCGGCTTTCGGCAGGGGTTGTGTGGCGAAGGCGCTCACCTGTCGGGAGTTGTTACACAGAAGAGTTAAACGCCGGGAACAGCAAGGAGTGACCCGGTGGAAACGGGTTCTGCACGGCGTATCGGCGGAGAGGGAGCGGAGACGAGGGGTAGTGGCGGTGGCCGGTTTATAGTGGGCGCGAGCTTTCGTCCTTTTCCCTGTATCTGGCGTCAAATTTTGTGTAGGTGGACAGGTCCTTCGAGGAGTACAAGTTCCGAACTGGGGACCCCACTTTTGAATCTCCAGGACAGGGCCGGCGTCGTATGTGGATGCCTGGCGTGCCTCGCTCCAGTACAAGAAGAGGTTTGGCGGGTCGGCAAACCCCGAAGCGCATTTGGCCAAGCGCTGCCTTGTCGTGCTACGTCCTGGGGACTTGTCATCCGCACAAGCCGAGAACTGCATACTTGCGCTCCGTAGACACTCCACCCACGCAGCATGCTGAGCATTCTGGAGCACAGCAAGCACTATCTGAACGCGGCCACCTCCCGGGCAAGAGAACAGAAGCAATTCATAGAGGAGACGAGAGGCAGCCAGGATGGCAACTGCAATGGCGATAGTCTTCCATATCCAGCAACAAGAGATGCTGCTATTGTTGTTGATTCTGGTTGTCCATCGTTGGGCGATTGCAAGGCGCAGATTGAGTCAACGAATCGTGTCAATTCTATTGTCGGACGTGCAAATTTTGGTGGCAGCCGCAGAGGCTATTGTGGGATCCACTCCTCGACAGTGGTGGGTGAAACCAAGAGCTGTTGGGGCATGGCAAAACATGACGAGAGGCGATGCCCCAGCGGAGGACTACTGGTTCTATAATATCCGGGTGGACGAGGATATATTCCGCGGCATAGTTGGGGTGGTGGGGCGATATGGAAAGGGTGCCAACTCATTACAGGAATCCGACACCGCCTGACCAGCTCGTGGCATATGGGTTGTATAGGTGGGCCACAGGTGAGTCTTATGAGCACTCGGCCACCTCGTTTGGGCTTGGGTATGAGACCAGCCACGTTGCGGTGATGGACGTCGTGACTGCGCTCTTGCTGGCATACACAGACAAGATCGCCTTCCCAACCGGTCAAAGGCGGTTGAAGCTCTAGCAAAGTTCTTGAATAGAGGCTTCCCTCGCTGCTTCGGTGCGATAGATTGCACCCATCTACACATAGACAAACCTGCTGGAAAATGGGGTCCACCGTACTTGAATCGGCACAGGAAGTACTCCATTGTTGCGCAGGGGCCAATCTGCGAATCTAGGATGTGTTTGTGGGCTGGCCGGGGTCTGTGCATGACGCCCGGATTCTGCGAAACCCCACTCTTTGGCAAAGAGCAGAGAGCGGGGCATTGTTCAACGGGATCCAGTCCCTTTGCCTGATGGAGTGGACACTCGTGGATGTTTGCTGGGAGACGACGATTATCCATCACTGATTCACTGCCATGGTTGGTTGTGCCATATGGGGGCCAGCATCCTGAAGGAAGTGATCGAAAGGTGTTCGACGACACTCAGAAAACATTGCGAGGATGTATAGAACATTGCTTTGGATGCCTCAAGAAAATGTGGAAGATGTGTGCATGTGGAAGATGTTTCTCCCCACACATAAGCCCAACATCAAGTATCTTATGAAGCAGTTCCGTGCGGTGTGCATCATCCACAATCTTCTCTTGAGCGCAGGTGTGCAGATGGATCCAAGACAAGAGTGGCGAGAGGGAGAAGAAGACAGCGGTGATGAAGATGAAGATCCTCCACCACCGCCACCCGGGCTGACCATCGAGGCAGCTCGCGCCACTGGACACAGGCTCAGGAACGCGATGGCTGCACACGTCTTTAGGCATAGAAGGGAACGCGAGCGCCGTCGGGCCCATGCCTGATTGAGGCTAGGGGGTGGATTGGGGTGGAATGAAGGGCTAAGTGGTCACAGCTTTCCTGGCATTTGTGTTTTGTCTGTGACACATAGGAATACATTCACAGTCTTATGGTGAACCCGTGTGGTAAAAGTTGATGAAATCTCTCTCTCTCTCTCTCTCTCTCTCTCTCTCTCTCTCTCTCTCTCTCTCTCTCTCTCTCTCTCTCTCTCTCTCTCTCTCTCTCCCCCTTTCCCTCCCCCCCCCCCCCCCCCCCCCCCCCCCCCCTCCTCTCTTTCTCTCCAACTGAATGTGTGAGTCTGTTTTGTGTGACACTGTGTGCGTGTGCGTGTGCGTGTGTGTGTACGTGTGCCTCTGTGTGTGTGTGTGTGTGTGTGTGTGTGTGTGTGTGTGTGTGTGTGTGTGTGTGTGTGCGCATGTGTTGTTAGACCCCAGATTCTCTCTCATTCCCCTCACAGATCATCACAAGCCATCCATAACGAAAAAGTATAGATAGGCAATATAATTTAGAAAATGCAAGGTTGGCCACGTTTGTGTGGTTCAGCGCCAAGTGC